CGTGTTTACCCGCAGTGGGAAAAAAGCACTTCCAGACTCATCACACTCTTATGCTTCAGATGTGACCGCCAGCAAATCTCAAAAGGACGTTCCAAGGAAAAAAAATTTGGATGACGTTGTCGTGAAATCTGAGGCTTATTTTAAAGATTTTGAGAAATCGTTCGGGATTTTAGAGAAGTTTTCAACTGATTGCAGCACTTTCGTGCTGGGAACTACGTCGATGGATAAAATTAAATATTACAAAAAAAACGTACGTTTTCTTACGGAGTCCAACAAATTATAGGCTTACGGCCACAAAAAAATTTGGATTAATTGAATTTAAACCTTCAACTTTTTTACGCCTTTCTCTACCGTATTCCTATCAAATATCTCTTTTCCAGTCCGTTTACAACCCTCTCTCTCCTTCTATCTGTCTCTCTCTCAGTCCAACTTCCCGGTTATTATTTCAAACCAGCATAGAAGACGTGATTGTTTTACTCTTTTAATTGATGTAAATTTAAATTTCAAAGCTCAATACTTTTTTGTTTTTTCTTTTAACGTTGACGCACTCACCGAACCTCTTACGTATAAACAAAGTGTTTTTCATCAAATAGGTTAAGTGCTTCTACCATTCTATTATTAAAATCGTTAAAGCCGCAGCATCAACAATATTTTCCGTCACCAACAGTAATAAAAAACATAAATGCACTTCACTAGACTTGTATATAATCAAAAGGCTGCGGCTAGCTATTGTCTCTCTGTGCGCATCAATTTTTATTTCTATTATTATTATTATTATTTTTTTATTTTTTTTTTGAAGATAAACAAGCTTTAAATTGCGCATCATATCACACTTTGATGAATTCATTTCAATGTTTTTTTTTTTTTTTTTTTTTTAATTCGTTTGATATTTTTTTTTTACCATCGATGCAAATATACGTGAGGCTATGTGTAAAATGCATGGAGTCGCTTAAATGGTCAGTACGGTCATAAAATATGAATAAAGAAAAGGTAGAGTAATAATGACGGAATACGCTTCCGTTGTTTTGAAAATGAGCAAGGGTTATGGAAATCACATTCAAATATCGAACAGAACAACACATGTATGCAGGAAAATGGGTGTATATTGTTCCATGTATAGATCTTCATATCATGTTTCAACTTTTTTAGGAATTGCAAAAAATAAAACAGTCGGATGAAGAAATCGAAAGTACGGAGAAGAGGATCAGCTGCTAGAGGTTACGAAGTTTCCTATCAACATGTTCTTATGGCAAAAAATTCCTTTTCTTTATTTCTCCTTCTTTTAATTTTCTTTAATAAATTGCAACTCCATTCTATTAATATTCAAATGAATAAGATCTATTCAATTAAATTATATAGCTTGCGAATTGATATGAAGGACATCGGGAAGAGTCAAAAGTAACTCCATTGCTACAGTGCAAAGGAAAGAAAGAAAGCAATAGTAGCATTCATTGCCGCGGTATCAGCAACCAAGACCGAAATATGGATGAAACCTTAACTTTTACTTGCGAGCTTTCAACTGTTAAAACACTTGTTTCCTTTGCTCCGTTATTCAATTCAGAACAGAAATATTATGAACAAGTCTTCATATAAAATCCGTCAGAAATATTCAGAAAAGTTATTTAAGGGTTTCGGTCGACAATAAATCGATTGTCACTAATAACAACAGTGGAAAGAAATGAATAAATGTATAATACGTTAGTCTGAGACCAGTGAAGCAATCGTCCTGATCAGCTAAGTACTTTACTTTTGTTGCAATTATCAATGCTCTCAAAAACAGTTTTTATTGTTTACGCTATGCAATCTGGGGGCTGGGATCCCATGCGCATATGAAAACATAAACTGAGACTAATTGATTTCCCTGACTAGAAAAGCGCAGATTTGTTTTAGGGATTATCTTCAAGTGTGATCGGGTCAACAGACGAATAAACAAGCCGTACAATTGACAATAATATGCCCCGCCACATAGCTCGACAATGTCATTTAGTTAAACTTAATAAGTGTAGACTCAATTATGAGCTATTTAGACATTTCCGGGTTGTTTGTAACAACTTTAATAAGGCTTAACGCCCAATTTCTACATCTGAAGCTTAGAATAGGGTCAAAGCATTCCGACACCTGTGCATTTTAAATAAAGGGCCGATAAAATGTGCCGGTTACAGGGGAAGGCAATACATTTCATAACCTTTCTCATACGTACTTTACACATATATGGATGCTTCACTTGCCAAATCGATTAACTCCATAAAACAAGAAGTTGAGAAAGATGATAAAATATTATAAAAAAAAACCATTTTGACATTTATTAGAGAAACTTGTTTTGAATACATACAGTTGGGAGCTAATGAAGTGCTTCGATATTGAAATTTAATAAAATTCCAAAAATGGAGTTAATCGAATTGGCAAGTGAAGCATCCATATATAGCTATGATATCCTATAGTTGCCTTTCGGAGTTCTTTCTATCTTTCTTTAGTATGGTACATTTAATTCGTATATCTATCTATAGGATAATTAGAGAAAGCAAAAAGGAAAAATGATGTTTGTTCTTTTACAGCCCAAATTGATTATCTAAATATAAATAGTAAATAGATAATAAAAAACAAACAATTAATTGATTGGAGGGAGATTGATTATATTTTCTATGTTTTTAAAGCATTTTTTTTTTTTTTTTTAAATTTTATTTATTACTTTATAAAGTTGAAAGACGAAAGTTTTGCAAAACGGTTATGTTTGCACACGCCTGTGTAGTAATACAACCATATGCAATGCCTATGAGTTAGTGTAACACACTTCCCGCACTTTCTTTTTTTTGTTTAATGCGTTTGCCCTTTGCTTAATAAACAGTGTAAATAATAATAGAATTTCAATAAAATTTTCACTTAATCAAGTGTAAGCAAAATTACAATATTAATAATTTACGCATAATGTCAAATATATGCAAATGTGTTTGTGAGCATAATGTGCACATTATACATTACATTATACATTACATGCATTATTATTTATGAAATATATGCATCCGCATACCTATATTTATGCATATTGCAATGCGATGCAGAATTTGATTGAATTGCCAATCAATTGTTTCGAATTAATTTAATAAATACGCAACCTCAGGCACCATCAGCAACACGAGAAGCGACCGGCGTTACTTAACCACAAGTAGATACATTTACAATAAATACGCGGATAAGCAATAATCGATATCAGCAGCATATTAAAGTAGGCTTTTATGTGGAACCTCAACATTCGGTCACAATAGAATTAATTTCTCTAAAGACAGATTTCTCATCAATCTTGTAATAAAATATCAGATGTTTAAAGCGGCACAAATGCATGCACGCCTTCAAAATAATTATAGGAAATTGACAGGTCTTTGCAAAGAAGATCGTGGACGACATGTTCGAGGTGTTAACAAGGATCTACTGCATTCTTTGAGTGGATTTTCACACTAAAACGAGGTGGTACGAACCATTCCGCTGTAAGGCGCAGCGCGTAGCTCAATTATACTTTTTAATACTGAGAGAACGAAAATCGTTCCTCATTTTGATTGGGCAGGTAGGTTCAGTTTATATATGATACGAGAATATCAAAATTGATGAAAAATGAAAGGAACCATTAAGAGTACACACATTGCTTTCTTTCGTGCCTAGTGGGCAATCACAAGACGAACACATACCAGATTAATTTAATCATAGGAATTGTCTATCGATGAACTAGAGGAAAAGAAAAGGAAAGAGATGAAAAAGAGACGAAAATAGTATGGTACATGAACTTATATTTCTCCTAAATGTAGACGTAATATGATTACTATGCGGAACTTAATTTCGAGATATAGCGCGATATATTAAGAATATGGGATATTACATTATTTTAAAACATGACTTAATCTCACACAAGTCGTCGGTGTATGTCTACGAACCAATGTTAAAATATTAAAATATTGAATATCTCACGAATCGTTATAATCTGGAAGATAGTAATCACCATTAAAATTTTTTTTCGAGTTGCCGAAGGGTATTAAACAAGTTAAAGTCAATGCGGCACTGTGTTTAATAGTACTTCTGGCGCATCTATTTATATACTGAGAAGGTTTGTGTTTCTTAAGGATCGTTAGATCAATTGATAGTAGGAGGCTTTTGTAAAAAGGAAAGTTTGCCAAATGGCTCTCATCTCAAACCTCACAAAACAGAAACGAGATATCGTTTTTGAGTCAATACAGTTACAGTTAGGAGATTGAATCGGACAAACACACTCCAATACTGGTATCCAGCTTCTTTTAAGGATGTCGTCACCCAATTCGTTGGACCACCCCCTGACAAAATCCACAAACGTTTTAGTTTCAATGACGTATGATTCTATATGCAAAGTAAATGCCATCTTAGAGTAACTAAAACCTACATATCGTCGGTATTTTCAAGGGGGAAACATGCAGGTATTCCTTACATAGTCATAAAAGAGCAAATCTCTTCGTACTAACCCTAAAAACTAGCCAACCCATACTCCAGAAGACTACCCACAGTCATCAATAAATAGCTTACATAATCGTCCGCCGCTCTTACTGTTTAGAAAGTTTCTCTCTTTTGCTTTTTGTGGACTTTTCGGTTCCTTCCTTCCATTTTCGATGGTTTCTTGTTTTCACTTCTCGATGTTGAAGAGTCAGTTTTCTGGGTGGAGTGGAAGGTCATGCCAAAAAAACCGAAATACAGGTTGAAGAAGAAATTCATCATTTATGAGGAAGGGGACGTTTAGTCGCCTTACAAAAAAAATCTCCTGAACCACTGATAATATCTTAGATGTGTTTGTCGGCACTTCTCTCTTTCCGTCTCTTTTGCTTTGCAAGGTAAGCTAACCCAATGTATCTTAGCGTGAGAGTAAGGCATTAAAACATTATTTTTTGAATTAAATTAATTATCGAACTAATTAAAAAGTGAACATTTTATAATGGTTTAATAAATAAGTTAATGAACTTTTTTAAAAGAAATTAATTTTCACATACCTGTACTTATATTATGCATAAATATCTCACGCATCAGTAGTAATTCATCTTCAGGGGCAGCAGACATCGCTCCAAACACATCATTTTCAGGCCAAACTTCCCTTTAAAATTAAAAAAAAAATGAATTTAATAGAAGCCTAAAAATTTAAGGGAAAAAAAAAAAAATCTTATATACAATGGAAGACAAATCTTCTTCGGTAACCAGATTAAACAAACGACATTAAAATCTTCTGTTTCTCAAAAGCTTCAACTTACATTGGCTTACATTGATAGAACAGCCAAGAAGAACGAGTGTCCGTTGCCCGGTTATAACATTTTACAGGTGGAAGTTGAGCCCCAATAAACCATCATATGTGTTCAATAGTAGAGCTTTACAATGGAGGATAGGAGAGTAGAAAGCCTTCTTCTTAAAACATTTCGTTGAATGAAAACTATTATTAGGATAATAAAGAGGAATTTCCTTAAGATAATAAAGTGATATATCTATCGTCATTATATAGATCATATCTATCCGTATATCTTTGCATTTCAAACATGTCCTGGCAAATAGAATCAATTTTTGCTTCTTCGTACGCAGGGTCATAAGTGCAATCTTGTCTCTCTGTCTCTCTGTGTGAGAATCCCGATCTCTTCCCCTACCCTAGTCCTTCTACTATAACTATCATTACGCCCAACTGTAACTCCGTGTCTAGATGTATCCGTATCCCTGTTCCTACATTTATCCCTCCCTTCATATCTCAATCCAATCCGATCCGTATCTCCCGATTCATTTCTACTTCTCAATCTATCCCTGCCGCTATAATAATTTCACCTCTATCTCCATTTTTATATCTTACACCACTTGTGGAACAAGTGTGTATTATATTTGTTAGAATATATTCAACGCCCAGAAGGGGATACGTTTTTTATTATACCGATCGGTTGTTCTGAATGTATCTTGTTTTCTACCGTCCAACCTGAAGGTCGCAATTATTGAGACACACTAAGTACGGCCTGTGTGGAAAATGTTTCGGATCGGAGCAATTTTCCTTCCTTATTTTGAAAAGTCGTTACATAGATAAATGTAAGTTGGTGCAGAGTATTTAATGATGGATCGCATCCCACTACAGTATTTTTATCTGATATTTTTATCTTCTGCTGATTCCTACTACTAGTCTTTACGTTCATTTCCATCTCTATATTCATCTTATTTATGGCTCCGATATAAAATTGGAAGATAAAAGGAAGCAAAGAGAGAAAGAGAAATAAGGAAAGCGAGACATCGTTGGCACAATTCGCTCTTATTCGTCCATGATGAGGACGCTTTTTGCTTACTCTACATTTTAAGTCTTCTAATATTCTTTCTCGCTTCGCAAGACGCCTGATTGAAATTCCAATTACATAACATGAGGACAGAAGAGCGAATAAATAATGTTTTCATTGCTTTGCTTCTTTAATGAAAAACATAATCTGCAAGCTTAGAACAAATTGCGAAGTTTCTCTAATATAGACGAAAACTTTAATAAAACTAATCATTGCCATGCAGCATCCAAGTGTAATCCCTGTAGCCGCAGTGTACATGTACGTGTGAAATTGATATAAATTGAAAAAAGATTTTTTATTTCTTTTAAAATATATTTTTTTAAAACAATTTTTTTTTTTCTTTGTAAGTTAATATGACACGCAACACAAACACGACGTGCAAGAGTTAAGGGAGAATATTAAAAGTGTTGTCGTACGTTTTAAAACGCGCATTTAATTTCTCTTTAAAAGTCGTATAAGTGCACGTTATAGGTTTTTCTGCGTTTCCGTATATCCACGCGAATCCTTGTAATGTAATATTTAACAACAAACATGAACATACACACACGTGCACACATCCAAATAAGCACACACACACACACACACACAAATGTATATGAATTCAATACGTAGCATTTTGTAAATTTTGCTTTCACATCATATACGCATACCGTCAGTGAGTGCATACAGTAGCGTACGTATGGCATGCAACAAGCTCGTATGCGGCTAGCATGCCTGATACGAGATGGCATCAAAACTAGATTTAAGGGTTTCCATCACTCACTTGCCTACATGACTGCCTCTCACTGCCATCCCGTGTGTAATTGTATAGTTTTTTATTTATTTTTTCTTTTTTTTTCACATTATACGAGTAATTCTTGTAAAGTATTTTGTATGCAACAATACGCACAGTCGAGCAGAATATTACAAAATTTAAAGTCATTTTTTAAAGCGATGCTGGACGGAAGTACCTGACAATTCGAAATACAGAAGCGATAAAGGTGTTCGTGTTGCCATACTATTCCGATAGGATAAAAGTTTTGCTTTTTCTTTTTTCTTTTGTTGCTCAATTTAGAACAGAAGCGGAATGATTGATATTCAAATGTGTAGTTAAAAGCTGACGGCCTCTGTTACTCGGCACTTAGTTACGTGTGAAACAATTCCGTTAAATTCTACTTCTGCTGTCGATGCTGCAGGCATTTACGAGTGACTTACAATCTTTTTCTTTGTCAGTTTGTCAGTTCGAAATATGAGAAATAAAAAAATATTTTTATCAAAATCTCTCGCGGACGAATGAATAATAAGAACATCTTCATATTCTTCCACTACAATGCTTTCTTAATTGATCTTAAATGGGTTAATTATCACAAACATATACGCCCAATAGAACACTGGAAGGCAATCATTCGCACTCAACATAAACACACGAAGAAATTTTGGTTGTTTCATTAACAAGTTTTAAGCGCCTGCAGATTTGTGTTTTTATGCCATACTACTACTATTACCTGCGAAATATTCTATGTACATACACATGGTGCCGTATAATATATGATATGGTTGCACTTTACATAACCGACATTTCCGTGATATCAGGCTGAAAACACTCTCCTTGCTAAAGGGAGCATAAACAAAACCGAAAAACAAACATAAAACCAGAAAATAAAAATTTGTTTTTTTTGAGCACTAAGGTACAAAAAAGAAGAAAAGCAAAAATGCAGCTAAAAACAACATTTTTCCTCTGTTCCTCTACCAAACTTTTATACGCCAATCAGAGCCGTTGCACTCGCAACTACTAAGCTTAGTATTTATGTTGATATTTGTGTCAGTGTTTCGGAAACGATAGTACGGTGCCTGGGCTTTGGTTACCTGTGAAAGTATGTTCTTTACACCCTACGCAGCTTGTTGTAAAAAAGCACTTTAAGTTCGTTTGGGGATCACTTTCAGAATCGATTTAAGCTATGTCCGTCTGTTCGTCTTGTTTACTTATATTCAACCTGAAGATAGAAGATTTTGCTTTATGCTTTTGGTCCAACGGCGACCGCTTTAGAAAATGACTTGGGTCGGTCCACTTTTTCAACCACTTTCCATATAATCCCTTTTGAAAAGACGTGGTATGGGTATCCGTATGATGGTGTACGGTATTTAACGGTGAGCAGTGCCACACTGTAGTGCGTTGTATGTGTACGCATATTTGTATACATATCATTTTTGCACTATTTGCTTATGATTTTCCATAATATCGTTATTTACAAACGATGACAACAAAACATATAAAATCAACAACAACAACAATAGCAGCAACGACAAAAACAACAGTAACCTAAGCCATCTAACGTATAGCAAAATGATTATTTATGCTTATTCGCAAGAGTTGTTCATGTGTGCGAACGTGTGCATTCGTGTGCTAATTTTAACACCTCCCCCTCTTATACAGCCATCCTTACACATGGCTATAACATATTTTACCTCTTCTTGGTATATATTTAGTATTTGCTTTACCCACTATGGGGGGTATATTAATTCTACTATAAATTTACATGGCACAGCATTCAGCATCGGAGGAACCCTATAAAACATATATGTATATATATATATGAGTTCGCTATTACTGTTAAGAAGAATTTGGTAAATCGAAATATAGTCCTGAAGCTCTATGATATGCATAGAGTTTTCAATTTGATTTGCATTTCACTATCGTTACCTTCTAAAAATATCTGTTGCTACTAGCACCTGATAATTAGAGATTTACTCCACAATGATGTTTTTTTTGTTTAATAAACTTTAGCTCAGACTTTCCATCATTACTAATAAACATTTGATAATTAGAAATTTATCTCGTACCTGATGAGGAATGATAGGATTTTCCCTTTGAGCTGGAAAAAGTTTAGATGTAATTTGCCCGAATTTTTCGCTATTAGCGTCAAGTTGAGTCCGAAAAATTTCACGACTACGTCCCTCAAATCGTTCCCTATGGTTCTCATACTTTAACTTGGGCAAGGGCTTAGCTCTAGTTTTTCTTTTCCTTAAAAGGAGCTAAAACATAGTCAACTATCAACAAACATCTGACAATAAGAATAAATTTATTCCAAGATTATCGGATGGGATTTTGATCTGAGGTCGGGAAAGTTTAAGAGAATTGACTGCCGTTTCTTAGCTTAGGTATGTGAACTCTATAAACATCTAACCCAAATCGAGAATTATTTGCTACGCCACTTTGGTTTGAAATAATGAGCCATTGAAAAACTGTGTTATTATTTTGGGGACCGAATGTCCAGAAGGAGGTCGTGTAATAGATGGACCCAAACCTTCCGCAATCATGTCATATTCATTTTCTTTAGTTATCTTAACTTTGCTTTGAGAAGTTTCTAGTGTTTAGTAAATCCCTTCAGAACAGAATCAAATAAATTTCTTATGTGAACAGCCATTCTTCGCATATCCTCTTATGCCGTTTGAAGCTGTTACGGTCAAGAAGGATTGTAGGTAGAAGAAAAATGGTGCGTGAGGTCTTAAATTTAGATTAATCGAGAAACTTGCAAGACTACGTTACACACACATAAACTTAGAAGACCGTAAAATCATTCATGAGCCCTTTATCGGGATCGTTTTATGCTCGCATATACGTGCATACGCATGGCTTTTTATGGTTTAAGTTGATTTGGCAGCAAATTATTGTATGTGCTTATTATATTTAGTGTATGTTTCGAAAAATTCGTTATAAACTATATGAAATATTTTTCTTCTTGTTCAGTTACATTCTTCCTGCTGTTGCTGTTTTATTGAATTTCATTCCGTGATAACGAAAGCGGCATAATATTTTTCG